GTATTTAGAGAATAAGACATGAAATAGAAAAATAAGAACTACTAGTTCTGCTTTTGTAGAGTTTGGTATATAGGATATAGATACATTAAATTTGATTTGTGTATTATTTTACAGTATCCAAGCAATACTAGTAGAAATGTTATGTGTTTGTAAGCTTATTATTGAGGTATTAGTATAAAAATAAAGATTTTTTGAGTTAATTTGTAGTATTTTTTTATACAAATCTATAAGTTAATTATAGTATATAGAATTAGATATTGTATTTTAGATTAAGAGAATTTTCGAGAAGAGTAGTAAGAGTATAGAAAGAGTTTGCAGAACTGGCTTATATAATTCTAAATGTATATTTTGAAATGCTTGGATTTCTTGAGTATTAATATTGAGTTCGAAGTAGTATTTCTTTTTGTATTTTGCATTCAAGGTTAATAGTTTGTTTGTAATTTAGTTGGAAATTTGTAGGTGTTAGAGAAATATGAATTGTGTTGAGTGTTGTTGTAATAATTTAATATTTTTGAAGAACTATTTTGAAATTAAGTATGCTTATTATTTTACCAATATGTCAATTTTTAGATGAAATGTAAAATATCCATATATTTTTAAGATTGTTGTATTAAGATGTAATTAGATTAAGTGTATTTAGAAATGATTAATTGGTTTAAGTTGCAGATTGGACCATATATGTTGAATAGTAGAAGAAGATATTTTATTTGAAAGTATTTTGAATCAGTTTAAAATAGGACTTTAAAGAGATTTACAAGTTTTAAGATAGATATTTTTTTAGGAAAGTAGGTTATGATTATTAGCTATAAGTAATTGTTTAAGAAAAAGAATTTTGTTGTTTTTAAGACTTGATATTGTTGGATTATCTGAAATTAGAATAAAGTTGTAAATATTGTTTAGTTAATTAGTTTGTTTACAGATTGTTAACTGATAAAGTAGTGAGTTGTTGAGAGAGATATTATTTTTATAAAGATAAAATAGTTATGATATTATAGTAAAATTAGAGATTTTTCTATAATTTTTAAGTATTGTATCTTAAGATAAAGATGGCTTTCATATTTTAGAAAGCCATTCTTTGGTTCAATATATAGAAATTTGATTTAGAAGTGTATTGGTATTAAAGTATCTTTTTATGTTACTGCTGCTAACTTGTAATATAAGTTTGTTGAGTATTGAAATATTAAGTAATTGTAGATTAATAAGGATATCATTGTTTATATTTGTAAATAGGTTTGTTTTAAGAAAAGAAACAAATTTAAAATAAGTATTCTAAAGATAGTAATAGAATAGTATTAAATAATTGTGATATTATTATTTTATTAATTTATTGTTACTAATATTAATTATAATATATTAAAACAATTAAAAATAATAATTATAATATATTTAAATAATAGATTCAAAGTTCAAATTCTATTAGTAATAAAATTTTGAAAAATGATCTTAATCTAATAACTTTTTTTTTTTATTATATAATATCAAGTAGGAAAAATAGTAATATATAATATATTAATTGGATATAAATATATAAATAAAATATTTCTAATTATACTATTGTTGCTATATACTAATAACATCTAGCATAATATTAATCTTTAGTTTTCTGTTTTAGTTAAGTCAACTATTGTATTATTAACTACAGAAGAAAGTAAAAGGAACTCTTAGAATTATTATTATTTTTTTTTTAAATATTAAGGTGAGTACTTGTGACCCAGGATTTTATTGATAGTACATTCAGCTAATAGTTGCATTACAACCATAGGGGGCAACCATGGAAAGAGTGTACAACTAGCCACTTGTACAACTTTAGTCATTGTCTAATTTTAAGTAGTTTGCCTGAAGGTTTTACACTAGTTGCCATACCTAGAACCTGCTTGTAGATTCCCTATTTAACTACTCTGTTCCCATATCTACTCACCTACCTACACCTACCAAGATGCTCTGGTCGATACCAGTTCAAATATTTCATAGTTATTAAGTCTTTAAAGCAGTTCACTCATATGGGGAACCTTTGACCTTGTACTAAACCTCCAGAATCTTCTGTATCCCATTTTTATAACTGACCTGATATCATTATGGCTGAGACCAACACTAGTGGTTAGGGCATACCATTTAACCACTATGCCTTTGTAGAGTTTACTCCAACCTCATTACTGACTTTACAATATATCTCTACTACTTTGGTATTCAATTCAAGTTTTATCAAGCTTCCAAACCAGATAGCCCAGAAAGGCAGGTCATAACTATACACCTCTGGTTTACATGTTTGCTGGCATGTAACTTTTTTTCTGGAATTCGGAAATTCTGGCAGCCTGGTTAGTTCCATTTGGCCCCTTCTCAAAGGCTAGCTCTTTGTCTAGTTTTACAAGTTCTAGCTTTATTTCATAAATCTAGTCTTTACAGTAGCACCATCGAAAGTTCAGGTTACCTCTCTACTCATGTCTTCCAAGTAGGCTTCCATCTTCCTACTTGGTTCCTATGATTTACATGGCCTAAGAACTTATCTTGGGTTTACACCACCTGGTACCAGTTTGTGTTCTTTTGTACAATGTTGCATGAATGCCTAGACTTTCCAGTCAGACTAGTATAACATGGGTTACAGATATCCTATCCCAACTAATCACAAAAGACAGTTAGCCATAACACAGAAAGAATTGCAAATTTTCGTCATCACTAAGATTTGAACTCTAGACCTGCCACTTGGGAGTTGACAATCTATTCACTTCACTAGGTCACCATATCTCTAACTCTTAGAATTATTTTAGTTAATAAAAACAAGTATATATAGTAAAATTTTAGGAAAGAATTTTAAGAATAAATTAGTCTATATTGATGTATTGTTATTTGAGTTAGGAGTTTGTATAATAGGTAGTTGAGCCTTGTTTTTACTTTTAGTAAAGGCAGTAATTCCTCATATTAATTCTTATTCATATTGTTTGATGTTTCAAGTTTACCAAATAATAGAGTTAAATCAATTAAATAAAGAATTAAATAAGAAAATAAGAAAGTTGTTAATTAGTTTTTTTAAAATTAGTTAAAGCTATTCATATTAGTTGAGAGTTATTGTATTCTAAATAAATAGAAGTATTATATTATATATGTTAGAATTTAAAGAAAGGTTTTGTGAATTTAAAATTTGTATTATTGTATATAATAAAGTTTCTAAGAAACTTAAAGAATTTAAGATGTTGGTAATTTTATTAATAAGTATATTACATGAATTGAAAGAATAAAATAAGTATTAAAATAAATAATTAGTATTTTCATATTAATTATAATATGAACAATTTGAAATTAAGTATAATAGAGATAGTAAATATTTAAATTTGATATTATTGGTAAATTATTCAAAAGTATATTGTTTCTAATAAAGTAGAATTTTGGATTAGAATTTTGAGAATTAATAATTTCAGTAAATAATAAAATATTAATAGTAGAAAGGTTTTATAATAGTTTAAGTTGAAGAAGTTTGTTAAATGTTTAGATAGAAAAGAGATTTTTACAGAATTTATAAAATTTGTATGTAATTAGTATTTCTTTTTAAGTAAAAAAGATAGATAAATAAAAATAATTAAGATTAAATTTTAGTTTAGTTTTTTTAATACTATGTTTAGTTAAGGTGTTGACTATATTATATAGAGTGTTGTTTAAATATGTTTGACTTTGTATATAGTATAGTTAATGTTTTTGAGTTTAGTTAAATAATTTAGAATATGAATAATATTCTAATTGTTTTAATTAGTTTAGAAGTTATATTAATAAAGTATTGAGTTTATAAGAGTCTATATAATAGATAAATTATCAAGATGAATATGAATTTGATAGTTCTTAGATAAGATAGGAAACAAAGAAATAAATACTACTAGTTCTACTTGTATAGAGTTTGGTGTATAAGTTATAGAGACATTAAATTTGATCTGTATTATTTTTTAAAATCTAAATAATATTAGTAGAGATGTTATATGTTTGTAAATTAAATATAAAGGCATTTATATAAAAATGTAACTTAGCTGAGTTAATAAATACTAATTTTTTATAGAGATTTGTGAATTGGTTTTGATATATAAAATCAGGTATTGTGTTTTGTATTAGCAAGATTTTTGAAGAGAATAATAAAAAAGAAAATAAAGATTTTGGAGCAGGCTTGTATAGATTTGCATGAATGTTTTGTAGAACTTGAATTTCTCAAACATTTATGTTAAGTTTGAAATATTGTTTTCTTTTTTGTGTTTTGTATTTTAGATTAATAGTTTGTTTATAATTTATTTGAAACATTGTAGATGTAGAAGAAATATAAGTTGTGTTAGTTATTAAGTTGATAAATTGATATTTTTGGAAAAATAATAAAATATCAGATTAATTTGAAATTAAAATAACAAAAAACTCTAGTAGGTTTAGTACAAGGTCAAAGATTTCTTATATAAGTAAACTAGCTTAAAAACTTAGTAATCATAATATATATATTTGTATTAATGAAAACTAAAGCAATTGGTAAAGTAAATAAATAAGTAAATACTAGAACCAGAATATTTAAATAAAAAACTCATAGGCAGGTTCTAGGTATGAAAACTAATGTAAAAACTTCAGGCAAATTACTTAAATTAGACAATGACTAAAGTTGTATAAGTGACTAATTGTATACTCTTCCTATAAAATCCTAGATTACAAGTACGTACTTATCTTAAAAAAATATATATATATATATTAAAATATTTTTTAACAGATTTAAATCAAACATATTTTTAAGAACACGTTTTTAAAACATTTGTTATCTCTAGTTTGGGTTGGCACAAAATTTTGTTAATACACAAAAGGTGATTCTTAGAGATAAATGTGACTTTACAAGTTTGCCGCCAATCATATTATGATAGTAAATCATTTGATACGTAACACCCCAACGCAATATTATTGGTTATTGGATTGGCCAATCATTTATCAATGTAAAAAAGAGTATACATTTAATGCAAAATTTCGTTTGCAAACTTCACGAGAATCACAAAATGGCGAACATTGTTCAACCTCTCTGCGTTCCTTCTTCGTATAAAGATCAACAGTATCAAGTATGTAAATCTGATAGAAAACTTTTTTGACTTGTTAATAATTTAATGTCTTCAAACTTAAAAGGGTACATCAACAGATCTTGCCAAAGATCTTTCAAATAGCACTACCCTTTATGTAGGAAACTTGTCATTCTATACAACCGAAGAACAAATATATGAATTATTTTCAAAAGTTGGTGAAATAAAGAGGATTATCATGGGACTGGACAAATTTCAAAAAACTCCTTGTGGGTTTTGTTTTGTTGAGTAGGTTTCAAAATTTTAAAATAGGTTTGTTTTCTTTCGTGTACCAATAATCAATTATATTATATTATAACGATTTATAAGATACTATCATCATCAAGATGCATTGGATTGTATGAAATATATCAACAGCACAAAACTAGACGAGCGAATCATCAGAACCGATTTAGACCCTGGCTATAGGGAAGGAAGACAATTTGGAAGAGGAAGGTCTGGTGGGCAGGTATGTTGTTTGAGCATCCTATTATGTTGTTCTATTACTCAACACCTTTAACTCTAAAAATTCGCGTCTATTCTTTGCTTTAACAGGTTCGTGATGAATATCGACAAGATTTTGATACAGGCCGCGGGGGGTGGGGTCACGTTCGTGCGCGACAAGAAGCTGAACGAGCGAGACGTCAAAAAGAAGAATATGAAGCTATTACCACAATTCCTATCGGCGCTGGAGAATATAAAGGAAAATGTGAATAGCCTTTTACTTTTTTTTACAATCTCGGTTTTTTTTTTTTACTATCCTAACTTTATCATTACCCTCAGCAACGGTCACGAAGAAACATTCCAGAAATGAGGAAGATGAGGGAGTCGAAATCTATGGTGTTCAAGAGAAGTTCAAGGTATGATTTCATTTACTAAATATTTACAAAACTTAATTAGAAGAGTTTTATAAATCTTTTTTTATTTTCAATAAAGAATCCTCGGTTTAGAGAAGGCAGATCTGACGATGAGGATGAAATGCAGACTGATGCTTGACGTTTAGTGATTTTAGTCAATTAAAAATTTGTAAGCTTGGCTGAGATGGTCATTTTGATACGGTGATTCATTGGTTATTATCTCAAAAATCAAAATTGCAATAACAATTATGATCCAGAACTAATCACGCTTGGGTTTTATCTTAAACAAATTAAATGTCTTTGTACAATGTTCCTGGAGTAGTAACATTCTTAAAGCTAGTAGATTATTATATGACTTATATCCAATCGAATTTAAAATTAAATGTGAAAATCATGATTTTCAAAATTTATTCGTAGTTTAAAATATTTGCTTATTAAACGGCTGATTAATTATGTAACGGATTTTCAAATTTCAAATAATAGGACGAAGGGGTACGGCATAGTATAGAGATACATCAATTTCTGAATTTTGTGTAGAGTATCGATGTGAACGAAATTGATTTTTGAAAAAGGGTTATTTTGTTTTTATTAGAGCAATTTAAAATTTTTTTATAAGGAATAGTAAAATAAAATTTATATATTTAAGTTTCTTACAATTTTAAAAAGGTAAAAATTTTTTAATTAATTTTGATTAATTAAACTGATTAGCAATGTGAATTAAGTTAAAAATCATTTGTATTTGTTATTTTTTTATTTTTTATTTTTATTAAAAGATTAATTAGTATGTTTTGGTTAGTAATCAATCAATAAGGTAAACTAAATTAATTAGTTAAATTTAGTTAATTGAATTATTTAGTTTATATTAAAAAAAAATTTAAATTAGTTAATACAGATTAGAATTGATTGTTATATATTAATTAAAATTAATTAATATTGAGAAAGTTAGATTCTATAGTTTAACAGTAAAGCTGCTAATCTTTCACAGATAAGATCAACAGTTTGAGTTAGATTAGGGGCAAAAATTTAAGAATTTTAATTCTATAATTTAAAATAGAAATTAAATCAAATGTAAAGTACTGTAAAAAAGTTTTAAAATAAAGTGCAAAGACAGAAATAGAAATTTTTGAAAAAAGATCAATTCTGTAAAGGAAAAATACTATATATAATAGCAGTATTACAGAAGGTTTAGCTATATAGCAATATTATACAAGCAAGTCTTCAGAAAACAAGACAACATCAACATTTCTGTATTCAACTTACAAAGTACTTAATTAGAAGAATAATATAATATAGCTAAATAACTAGAATAATAATATGTAAAGAAGTTTTGTGACAAAGAATTAGTCTAACTAAAATTAGAACACCTTAGACAAATACTAGTAAAAGTATTAAAAATATTATCTAATAGGCAGTCATACATTACAACTTAAATGATAAGCATTATATCTATATACAATAAATCAAAATTTCAAATTTTCTTGCAATACTAAGCTGATAATATATTAGTATATAATCAGTAACATATTTACAGAAAGCCTACAAGAAGTATATATAATTAAGTCATAAACTATACTAATTATAAAAAACAATTAAAAAAGATATATTTGTTATTTGGAAATATACCTACATGGTACAAAAATAAGCAAAATACAAAGTAGTTCTTAAATTATTTGCTAATAATAAAATTGACTTCTGATATAACTAAACAAAAAGCTAGACAAACTTTCATAAATATTTAAAAATAATTTTAGAACCTATTTAATTATATTCAAAAACTAGAATTAATTTGTTATTTAATAACAAATGAGTATTGCTAAAAGAAAACCTAATAATCTAAAAATAGATATTATGAAATCCATAATTCTATTTTTAGATTGTTAGGTTTTCTTTTGGTAATACTCAAATATATTTGATTTTTTTTAAAAATTTAAATAATTATTACAGATTGGTTAAAAGTTATAATATTTTGTCTAATATATAAATCAACAAGCTTTAACTATTCTTGTTATTTTTGTTTAGTAAATAGAGAAAATTTAGCTAATTTAAAACTTACTAAACATGATTTAAAACTTAGAAATTATAAAAATATACTAAATTATTATAATAAGAATAAAGAAAATATAGTTTGTATTAAATCAATATAGAATTTTAAGTAAATTTAATAAAATATTTAATTAAAATATTTTAAAATAATTTAAAATACTAAAAATATTTTAATAATATAAAAGAATAATATATTATAAATATATACAAATAAATTTAAAATATATTATTAAGAGTCTAGAACTAGTACTGCAAAGAGTTAAAATGCCTAGAAGAACAATAAAATACATCCTAAATCTGTTTTATGAAAGACAACTAAAAATTATCACAGCTCATAGTCTAACAAAAAAGATAACAAAAGAAGATGCCATAGATCAAGAAGAAGTAATATCTCCATTAATATGGTAACTTTTCTATAATCTACTCTTAAAAAAAATATAAAAAAATAAAAATTTAGAATATATAGTAAAACAACAGATCAAAAAAAAATATAATGTAGCAACATCACAAAGTACCACCAAGTAGCCATTGCATATGCAGATAATACAATATAGATTGCAAATAATAAAAAATAACTAATAGAAATATTAAAAATAGCAAAAGAATTTTTAAGATAAATAATATAGAGATAAATAGATCCAAATCAAAGTATTAATAATGAATACAAAAGTAAAGAAAGAGAAAAGAAAAGTGATCTTTGAAGAAAACAAAATAACAGAAGAAACAAAAAACAAAATAGTTTGCTTACTATAAATATGACCAAATAACAGAATGAGTAAAGTAAAGTGTTAATAAAAAAAAAAGCTAAAAAAATAATCAGCCAAACAATAAGAAATTTTAGATACAAAAAGATGATAATGAGTCAGATTGCATATATAAACAATATAGTAATAATACCAAAATTAAGTTATATGTTACAGCTAATAAAAATGTTAGAAAAAAGTATAAGTAAAGTACACCAACTAATAATAAGTTTAGTGAAGTAAAAGAGCAATCTACAAAGAACATTAGAAAACTACATAATGAAACACAAAGATCTTAAAAGCTGCAAAACATTATAATAAGAATTAACAACAAAACAAATAAGTGACCTATTAGCAAGACTCAACAGACAAGATAGTCTTGAACAGTTAACAAAACTAAGAATAACACAAGAGTGTCAAAGAGCAGGTTTAATAAAAGATATATGGAAAATAAAGAAGATGCCAAAAAATATAGAAGATTAAAAAAGTAATCTAACTTGTCTGATATTACTAAAAGCAAGAAAGCTTAATATAAATATAAGAATAAAAGACAATTTATGAACAATGTTTGGATATAAAATCAAAATAAAAGAACTCATAGATATACAGTTACAGAGAAGAAGTGGTACTAGAATAAATGAAGCAGGCTTAATATATCTAAACCAGTTGATAAATACTAAAGAAGAAAGATTAATTATATGGCAGCAACTAAAAAGTTACCAAGATCTATTGAGTAAAGGAAAAAAAGCAGAATGGTTCAAAGCAATAGAACTAAAAGTACTCATTAGACCAAAAAATAAAGAAGTTAAAAACAATTTAAAATAATCAGACAAAATACTCAAGCAATGCAAATGAGATGGAAGTATATTTCAGAGGACAAAAGAAGAAAAAAATAGGTAGCATATAATGCACAGAACAATCAACAGTTAGGAAAGATAATCAAAAAAAAAGAAAAAAATACTAGTAGAACATTGGCAAATGCAGAGTAAAGAAAATGAATTAGTTATCAAAAATTAGCAGATGTAAGGGTTGTCAAAAGAAGAAAAACACTGAAAAAATAGTTGCCAATAGTAGATAAGAGTAAATAACAAAATCAAAATGATTTTAGATACATTAATAAAAAAAAACAGCAACAAGATTAAAATAATAATAGATCAAATAACAGAAACAATAAAGACAAACAACTCAGTAATAGAAGAACAGAAACTTAAGAGACTAAGGATAATAAAAGAATCAGAAATAGAGATAATCAGATAGCAAAAGTTAAAAGACAATATTAGTCAAGAAATAGTAAAAGTTTTAAGAAGAAATATAATAAGAAACAAGAACAAGTATATAATATACACAGATAAAATAGCAAATCTGAAGACTAAAGAAAATACAAGAAGCAGAAATAGTATAGGCATAAGGTAAGTGCAAACAGATGAAACACAAGAATAGCCAGAAGAAAAGATAGCATTAGGTCTAAAAATATGACAACCATTGACAATAGCTGAGTTAGTAGCAATATGTGCTGCAATTTTAACAATATCAAGAGAAAAACAAATATAAATATATACAGATAGCAATACAGCAATAAGAAACATTAGTAAAGATTTAGAACAAATATGCAGAAATAAGATTCTTAAAAAAAAGAATGCAATATAGGTAATGAAAATTAAAGAGTTTATTATGACAAAGAAAATTCAAATAAAGTTTGTTAAAGTTTTGTTAAAGTTAAGAGCTATAGTAAAGATAGATGGAATAATAAAGCTGATAGTTTATTAAAAAAAGATGTAATAAGTAAAAAGATAATATAGGTTGAAAAAGTCAGTTATGAAGAGATAGAGTACTGCTTAGAGTAAAAAAACAAACATACTAACATACTAACAAGACTGCTATGCAAATTGATAACAAATGCAAGGTTAGAAGAAATAAAAGCAATTAGAGAATTAGAACCAGAAACAGAAATTATGATTTATGATTGGATATATTTTTAAAATAGACTAAAGATATTGAAAAGAATATACTATACAACAAGAAAATGTAGTGCCAGAAGAAGTGTATTTATAAAGTGCATAATAGATAAACTTTCAAGAAGTATAGCGACTTAGTAAAGTGGATAAGTTGTCAACTCCCTAAGTGGTAGGTTGTGAATTTAAAACCCACCAATGACAAAAATTTGAATAATCACCTATATAATACATAGACAGTATTATAGTGATGGCATTCTGTCAATCAGTTGAGATAGAATACCTGTAACTATAGTTGCACCAGCATGACTGGCAGGTCACAGAGCATCTGTATAACCTTGGTTACACAAAGAAATGCAAACCGATACCAGGCAGTACAAATCTAAAATAAGTCCTTGTGA